TCTGTGTGTGTGTGTGTGTGTGTGTGTGTGTGTGTGTGTGTGTTGATCATCTTACTGCCTGCCTGCATCGTCGTGGTATTCCTTCCCTTGCCACATGCCTGCCTGCTTGCATCGCTGCTGCCTGCACGCTGCACTTGTGACGTGCTCCCTTACAGCCACTCTTCCATGCGCCTTGCCGCCTGCCCATACACTTGCCTTGTTTCCTCTCTCTCTCTCTCTCTCTCTGTTGCTCATCTTACTGCCTGCCTGCATCATCGTGGTATTCCTTCCCTTGCCACATGCCTGCCTGCTTGCATCGCTGCTGCGCGCACACTGCACTTGTGACGTGCTACCTTACAGCCACTCGTCCATGCGCCTTGCCGCCTGCCCATACGCTTGCCTTGTTTCCTCTCTCTCTCTCTCTCTCTCTCAAGTGTTCAATGTGACGTCGAATCGGAGGTGTCAGTCTCAGCTTCAGCTGGAACACTGCCGACCTCTCAGACGCTGCTGGAACAGGGCGGACATTGTACAACTTTAACAGAGCCTGCACAATGCGACAGCAAATGGCGTTCCTGGAACAACATGGACAGTGTCCGGTCCCCCTCTATATCCCTCTTCCCCTCCAGGTGCTCTTTTGATTTGGTTAACGCCCGGTAGTCGACGACAGTTTGATGACGAGCGTGTATTAATGCTGCAGACACGACGATACTCACTTCTCTGCTCTATCAACTGTCACGCTTCGCGGGGACAAAGAGCACGTACATGACCTGACTACACGGTCACTTCAACCGTTCTGAAGCTCAATCGTCCGGCAGCCAGCTGAGGATAGGTTCCCCAATAGTGCCGGTACAGTACTGGTGGTCTAAGCCGCCCAGTACGATCCCAGTCCGCCGGAACTCTGCTGTAAACAAGGAGGCAGCGCTTTCGATGTAGCCCTCTGGCGTAGACCGGTTAGTACGGTCACAGATTAATTCTGGTGCAAAAAGGTTAAAAGTTTTGGCAATTACTAATTTGGAGTCCGCCGTATGCAAATTTCTGTCTGTCAACTCGCTGCTTCCAACCAGCACGATGCTATATATTGATCTTTGGAGAAAGAACTTCAAAGAAGGGGGGGGAAAAAACAAAAACAGGTCCTTCTGAGCCCGGCTTCGAATCCGAGAAAGAACTTCAAAGGAGGGAGGGGGGGGGGGGAGGAACAAAAGCAGGTCCTTCTGAGCCCGGCTTTGAATCCACTCTGGGGAGCAATGCTCTGGTTCCTATTCCAAAGGCAGATGGAAGTGTTTAATGTACATGATGGACACACTCTTCACGCTTCCCCATGTTACGCCCATGGAATCCTCGCAGCATTGATTACCTTCCATAAGCAGCGTTGACTGCCAGTTAAGCCCATACATACCCTTGTGAGAACTCCTGTTTACCATGAGTTCATCGTCAGTCTACAGGAGTTTATCATGAGTCTACAGGAGCTTATCATGAGTTTAGCAACACTGTACAGGAGTTTAGCATGAGTTTAGCATGAGTTTAGCATGAGTTTAGCATGAGCCTACAGCTGAGGGCACTACAGATGGCATAATGTTTTTGGTGTGAAGTTGTGAACACTGTGAAAGCCATGGCATAATGTTTTGCTGTGAAGCCTGACTGGTGGAAATTCACACTACATTAGACACAGACACGCACATGCAGACGTACACAATCCACCTTCTTCACCCGAATAGAACGTACGCCGAACGGTCATTTTCGCTGCATCTGGACTGAAAGCTGGGCAAAATACGGCTATAATGTCCGTGCTCGTCGGGGTAAGATGGTAGCAACGACTGTGATCTGTTTGCCAACAACGATTTCACACCGCGAGTATCGCAAAAGGAACATCTCAAAAGACTCCCAGATACACTTCCGGATCCACAGGGCCTCGCTCGACTGCATAACATTTTTGAAATGTATCCGGTCGGAATGTATCTGACACATTTTGCATTCCTTATACATGTCGAATGTTGAGTGGTGGATTGAGGCCAACTCTGGCGTATCGCCTACAAATTGGACAGCTCAGGAAACACAATGAGCCTCTCTCCACTACTCCATGTAAACGTATCTGGATGCTCACTGGACCAAATACATCCTCTTACTGATCGAACATGTCGAATGTATTACACATTTAGGACCACATTCAGGTCCAGATGCCTCCCAATATTTGGACCATTCCCCTTTGACTCACTATACAATGATAGGGTTATACCCACTCACAGACTACAATGGGCCATTTGCTCCACTTCTGAACATTTTACACGCATCTGGACAGTCACTGGACCAAATACATTCTGACTGATCAAAACATTTTGAATGCATTAGGACCACATACAGGTCCAGGTGCATTTAGAATGTTGTGCAGCGCAGCGATCCCCAATATCTGGATCGCTCACCTTCCACACAATATCATACATCGATCAGGTTACACGCACACTCACGGCAGACCACACAAGTTGAAAGCTTTTTATATTAACAAGTGGACCCCGCCACGGCGTAGCCGTGGCGCACAGCAACAGTCGCTGATGGCGTCTTATGACGTCTGCTCTGTCTGTTTCTCTCTCTCTCTCTCTCTCTCTCTCTCTCTCTCTCTCTCTCCCCCTCTCTGTGTTTCCTCCCGCGTTGTGTTTGGCGGGTGACAGCTCTCTCTCTCTCTCTCTCTCTCTCTCTCTCTCACACACACACACACACACACACACACACACACACACACACATTCCATTGATAGGATGAGCAAAAACGGAATGAATCTTCCGCTGAATCAATTTGCTCATTCTATCGATCCAAGTAGCGTGCGGCGAGGC